ATTTTAAATTATTGCCACTGCAATTTTCTTTTTCGGGGATTTCTCGCTACTTTAAATCTTTCACCAATTCTAGATGTTTTCAAACTTGTCAATGAACAGGATCCACATGTTGATGATGGGGATGAGAACACAGAACGAGGGAACTGGGCCAGCAAGAGAGAATATATCCTCTCTACAATCGGCTATGCTGTTGGACTGGGAAATATCTGGAGATTTCCCTATGTTGCCTACAAGAATGGAGGGGGTACGTAGATAAATGGTGCCTCGTCCGTTCATTTTATGGATCCTATTTAATGACATTGCTGTTATCATAAGTAACATGGAAAAAGTTTCTCTCATCATGATGTCGCCCTATTGAGCAGGTGCCTTTCTCATCCCCTACTTTGTGATGTTGGTGGTGGCTGGAATCCCTCTCTTCTTCCTGGAGAGTGCCCTTGGTCAATTCTGCAGCCAAGGTCCTATCAACATATGGAGAGCGGTGCCTCTACTGCAGGGTGAGGCTGCTATGAAAGCTTTGTTAAAGCTCAGTCAGGTATATTGAAGATGTCAAACCTGAGGGATTTAAAGAGGCTGCTGGTTAATGGTCAACTGTGCAAACCAAATACCAGGTCTTTTATTACCCCTGGCTTTAGGTCACCAGCAGATGTAGGATTTTTCTAAATCTGGGGCTGTAAAGGGGCCACAATTTACACAGAGAGGCCAATTATATGTCCAAAATCCCTGCACAATTCCTGATTCAGTAAGTTGCACATTTAGGCCAGCCCTTGTTCATTGTTTTCTAACAATCTAGCAGAGTGTGATGGGTGGAACCAGGACAACACCATGTATCAGACTACTGACTTGGCTGGGAGATGTGTAGACCGGGGGGCAGATCCAGAAGTCATGTCCTGACAGCAATATACCATTCACACAGAGGGGACAAAGAAAAAACAATGATAAAAGACAAAAAAAACTTGAGGAAAGTTGGTAATGGTCCTCGGGCCTATCCAGACTGTTTGCTGGACACAGGAGACTCTAACTTCTGGAGCACTGTTGTTCTCAGAGCAGTCGAATACTAAAAACTCACCCATAAAAGTTGAAATTAGGTGATTTTCACAAGAACTTTCTTAACAGCAACTGTTCCTTAAAGCCTCTCTTCTCTACCTCTGCAGGTGTTGGCGTTGCAATGGTCATGATGACTCTTATAGTATCAATTTACTATAACGTTATCCTATCCTACAGCCTGTACTACTTGTTTGCCTCCTTCCAGTCTCCTTTACCGTGGACCAGCTGCTTCAGCTGGGCTGACAGTAACTGCAGCAACACGCCTACAGGTATAAGCATTTCAGTCTGACATGAAATAATGATGACAGAATGATATATTCTAGAGAAACGAAAGCAGCTTTAAAAGAGCTTTATATCCAACTTGTAGTTTTAAGCGAGCTATTCACTGGTCCTCTTTACTTTTCCAGTGTCTTGTAATGTAAGTGGTGTGTTAGTGGCCAACTGGACTCAGGAAAACATCACTTGTCCTTCATCTGACCTGATCACATTTCCAGTGCAGAGTCCAAGTGAACAGTACTGGGAGTAAGAATCACACACATGCAAACAAGCATAAACACATTTTTCATGTTGTGATGTCCTCACAGTCAGATTTCTCTTTTCCTCAGTCGTGTGGCTCTGCAGAGATCCAGTGGTCTGGATGAAACAGGACCAGTAGTCTGGCATTTGGCCCTTTGTCTGCTGCTGAGTTCCATATTTGTTGTTGCAGCACTTTTCAAAGGTATCAAGTCATCAGGAAAAGTAAGTCAGCTACACATTTTTGTAAGATTTTTATTTACGACATGCTTTAAGCTCAGCACCAAGGACAGAGAATTAAAGTTACTTCATTACATTTTTACGATGTTCAGTCTTGGCCTTTGTCTGCAGGTTGTGTATTTCACAGCCACATTTCCATATGTGGTGATTTTCATCCTGCTGATCAGAGGTGTTACCCTAGAGGGAGCTAGAGATGGCATAGAGTTCTACATTGGGTCACAATCTAATCTGACTAAACTCTATGAAGCACAGGTAAGAACTGATCTATCCTTGTTTAAATGCAACAAATAAGAGGAGTCCTATATTCCAAAAAATATCTTTTAACATGACTTTGTGTTTTTAGATCTGGAAAGATGCAGCAACTCAGATCTTCTACTCTCTCTCCATTGGCTGGGGCGGAGTCATGACTCTTGCTTCCTATAATAGCTTCCACAACAACATGCTCAAGGATGCATTTGTAGTAACACTGACAAATGCAGGTGGGAGCAAACCCAATTTAAAGGAAGCTCAATATATTAAAACAACTTAAAGCCTGTGATTAAAACACTACATCCAATAAAAACAAGCAAATAACCCATCATTAAGATACATTGTAAAGAGTCAGATACAACACAAAGCTACAGATACACATGTTAACTAAATCACATAAGACAGTGGAATACATAAATGGAATAATGTCACATCACAACTTTTTGTGTTTTAAATTGCAATATATTACATCAAAGGTTTTTCATCATCTAATATTTTTTGTTATTTGTCATATTTTCCCAGGCACCAGTGTGTTGGCAGGCTTTGCCATATTTTCGATTTTGGGTCACATGGCTCACATCTACAAAATGCCTGTTGGACAGGTTGTGAAAGAAGGTCAGACAGACACATCATGTGGGTACAGTGGTAAAAATGTGCTGTCGAGTGGAAGTGGTGCCTGATGTTTTGTGTCTTCATCTTTGTGCAGGGTTTGGCCTGACATTCATTGCATATCCAGATGCTTTGTCTAAGCTTCCGATATCCCCGCTGTGGTCCACTCTATTCTTCTTAATGCTCCTGACTGTAGGTCTGGACTCTCAGTTTGCAGGAATAGGTGGGATGTGATGCTGCCACAACTTTTAGGCCACTCCTGTTTCAGCAGATACTCACATCATGTATCCTCACATCTCTTCTTGTCTTTAGAGGTGGTCATCACCTGCCTGTTAGACGCTTTCCCTAAAATCTTCAAACACAAACATACCTTACTGACGGTAACAACATGTGCCATCATCTATCTCCTTGGCCTGCCATGTGTCACACAGGTAAACCTCTCAGAGTGAAACTTTGTGTTACTGTTGTCTGACATAGGTGTAGTTGATCTGATCTGTGTGTGTGTGTGTGTGTGTGTGTGTGTGTGTGTGTGTGTGTGTGTGTGTGTGTGAGATAGGCAGGAATATACTGGGTGACACTAATCGACCAGTTTGTTTCCGGCTGGGTGCTGCTTATTCTGGCCCTCTTGGAGATCATTGGTGTTTGCTACATATATGGTAAATATGATTATTGGAGATATGTGTATATAAATGTGAATTTATAAAAATTTGCCTTAATCCAAAAACGTGTTCTCGTGCTTTGCAGGAGGGAACCGTTTTATTAAAGACATTGAGATGATGCTTGGGAAAAAGAGTTTCATTTTCTGGCTGTGGTGGAGAGCATGTTGGTTTTTCATCAGTCCCTGCATCCTAGTGGTGAGTACTGCCGTACACAGAAGTGCCAAAGATTCACTCAGTCGTACTGAATTGTTGCAACTGTTTTTCTATCTGCATCCATATGTATGATATGTGTCACAGGAGCCTTAAAGGGATAGGTCACAGAAAAACGAGTCTTCAGACGTAATAAACACAACATGCCTCCATATTGCTTGTGTGGTGTCATCCAAGTGTCTGCATGCTCGGACATGTCTACTACCGGAAGTGACGATGCTAGAGGATGTTACCACATGAGGGTGTGCGTGAGAGTCTGTGAACGCACCTCAGAGGAGCCTATCAGAGGACTGGATTTGGTTGCAGTGCTGCAGCTATCCCTTTAAGTTCAACCAGGCTGCATTTATCAGTCATAGATATAAGTCCTCTGACTATGCCTGATTATTTTCATCCAGATCCATGAAATAATCGCTATCTTACAAATGAAAAAAAACATTCCTGGATCGGGCCTAGACCTGGATTTGCATCAAAATGTTTTTCTAACACACACCACATCCTTCACCAACTTGAATGGTAATCCGTTTAGCATTGCTGCAAAATAACAAACAAGTGCAGAGAAAAACATGAAGTGTGTGTGAATTTGTTTTGTTATATTCACACACAATTCTGTGAGAAATCAATAACAATACTGAGAAATGTCCACTCTCACAATGTTGAAGAAACTAGCAAAATAACTGACTTTGCTGAAAACATAACCTCCTTGGTGGAGGTAATTATTTTAAGACCACTGCCTTACAAGCCACATGAAGAAAGTAAGAAATGTGGCTGATATGCCACAGCTTCATATTTGTTTATGTTTCATGAGTAAATTTGATTTTGCTGTCTAGATGATCCTGGTGTGGTCTCTGCTGACATTTACTCAACCCTCCTATGGAACAGTCAATTTCCCAGTCTGGGGCCTGGCTCTGGGCTGGTGCATTGTTCTGTTCCCCCTGCTCTGGATTCCTGTCATTGCTATGTATAAGATGATGAAAGCAGAGGGAAGCCCCTGGAAGGTGTGTGTGATGATACTTGGAAAAATATTTTAAATCTTGCTCGTCTTCAGATTGTTTTCATAAATGTCAGGAGAAGGTCTCCAGAATTTTTTTTTTATAATCCTAATCTCTTACTTTCCACAGCGTCTGAAGTCATTGTGTTCTCCATCCAAAGAGTGGCATCCCTACCTGGATTTCCATCGAGGAGAGCGCTACTCAGAAGAACGCAGCTGCCGCATGAAGAACCGTGAAAACATGCCAGAAGTAAACGTAAATGTAATCTCTAGCTCATGGCTCTGATGTGTCTTTTTGTATTTTTACTGTCAACCTCTCATCTTGGTAGAGGAGTGTAATCTGTGTAAATGAGTGTAAGTAAAACTGCTTTGAGTGATTTTTGACCACTTTCTGGCTTACATTATCTGTTGGGACAGGTAGCATACAACAGGGCTGTGTGTGTTTGTGTGTGGAACAGTAAAAAAGCAAGTTGTCCATGGTGGTTAATTTTTCCGCTGTATTTCATCAAAAATATTTAATGTTCTATCAGTTGTTTCAGTGATCTTGCTTCTCTTATCATGTCCTTTACTTTTTTGTTAACCAACGAAATCCTTTGTTCAGCACCTCTGATATTCTACAAAAAATAAATGGGTAATAAACCTTGCAAGCTAGTTCAGGCAGCCAACTCGAGCTGCGCTGCTCCAATCATGTGACATACCTCATTCTCCACAATCATCCATTACTCACACCCCCCTTATTAGGCGGCCTATTTAAGCAGAGATAAATTTCCCATCAACCCCTTTGCTCACACTGCTGCTGCAGTATTGCTTCCAACTGCTTCAGCCCCTCCACCACCCCAGCATCCACCTGCAGGCTCCTACGGGGTTTTACAAGTGTTTACTCGTCACTCCCATCATATCTGTGTAATCATATCGGGGGAGTGCTTAGGTCGGAGCCTAGACACTAACCCAAACACTAACCTGTTCTACTGCTGCAATAAATATTTGAACATGGGTTGTCTGACTGAAATAATTCAAAAACTTGTTATCATTGGATTATTAAAGTGTGTAAAATGTATGAGGTTCTATTGCCAGAAATTAAAAATAATATTCACACTGTTCATTTGTGTGCAATCACCAGAAGCTAAGAATTGTTGTGTTTTCACTACCTCAGAGTGAGCCCTTTACATCCACAAGAGCGGGCCCTCTTCCAGAGAGGCTGCCATGTTGCACCAACATATTTCTACAGTAGCCCATAATGGATAAAACAAGCACTGGCTCTAGAGAAGACCTTTCGTGTTTTTACGTTTCCTGGAGGCCACTGGAGGTTCTCCTACACAAAGAAAGTGGTGAGGGGAAGGGTATTTAGTTGGTTGCCATCTGAAACTTCACCACTAGACGGCACTAAATCCTGTACATATGTATCCTTTTATGGCTGAAAATGACAATGGAAATAAGCAAATTTCTGAAATGCAAGATGAAGTTTGGCATTGTCACTTGAGCTCTTCTGTGTGTCAGGCTAACAGCCAAGATGACGTCATCAGGTTTTAGTCTTCTTTAGTTTCACTAGGTTTATCTTAAGAGCAGGCAGCCACAAAGTCAACTATGCCACAATGTGCATGTTTTCTATGCTACTAGTTTCTAGTTTATATTTATAATAACTGACTGCCTCAGCGAGAGGAAGATAGTGAAGGGAAAATTTCGAAAACATTTTTTTTTGACAATAAATCCTTTGAATTCCTTTGGTGGTATTGAAATTAATAAATCATCAGATATCTGAAAGTTACAGTGTGTAGAATTTTGTGATATCGTGAAATTGCATGCTGCAGTTGAACACCCCTCACCTCACCCTCTCCTTCCAAACATGAAAAAGAACCTGTGGTAGCCTTTAATTGTCATAAAAACTCAAAAGGTGTTTAGTTTGTCCAGTCTGGACTAATGTAAAAAACATGGCCTCCGTAGAGCGGACCCCCTCGATGTAAATATAAAGGATTTAAATATAAAGGGCCTTTTCTGGGGTCAAAAAAACTACAATTCATACAATTTAGATGAAATGAACTAATGAAAA